ATATGCAAACAGAGATTTGAAATCCTCGAAAAAGTCAGATAAAACCAAAAGAAAAATTTTGTCCCATTTATAAATATTATTGATTTTTTTTTCATCATATTTTTGACTGCTTTATAAGAAAAAAGTTATTTTTCTTTGTAGTTTTATTTCTTAACTATTCCAATGGTCTAACTAACGTTTTTTCGTAATCACAATAAATAAATTATTATCAACAAACGCGCACCTTAAGCCGAAACCGGCATCGCCTTTGTGAGGGAGCCGGTAAAGATGCCACTGCGTACATTCGTATCTGGTCTAGGTTCTGTGCCATGGGTACAGCACGTCACAATAAGGACAGCGCCGTGCTTGTGACGTATAATCCATCGCATGTGTTCATCTCATGCTAAGCAATATTCTCGTTGTCCTTGTTTTTCGCATCATAATGAGAGAGAAAACAACAGAGGCACACATTTACTGTGCCCTGTGCCCATCTTCAACTTAATTTCGGAATTCTCGGAACGTCGGTCAACGCCCGGTCGTCCAGTTCAACGCGGTTTGCGCTGAATATTAGATAAAATAATAATAGACATTGAGGAAAATATAAAATATTTAATTTATAACTGTTATGTTTATCTAAAGATTACAAATTGCTTAATATTAAAATACAAGGCTAATATAACAATTGTGCTTTCGTGCTCTACGAAATAAATAAATTTTAATATACAGCTGTGATAAGTTTTCTATTAGCAAATATAGTTTTAATAACACCACGTTGCCATTCTCGTTTTGTTATTGCGCTATCATAGGAAATGTAAACAACTCATATTACCTATTAGGTACCATTTTGCTATATTTCTATTTATCATTAATTTAAAAGTTGTTTGCTATATTGTTGCCTATAACTAATTAATATATTATAAATTCGCATTTTTTTTAAGTGCAGTGTGCGTGTAGGTATTTTGAGTTTCACTCATTGGCAACATGGTACACGTGGTTACCAATTGCCATTTTGTGAAGCACGTTTTCGTTCTAGTTGCAGTTTGCAGTGTAGAGTTGTTATTTTTTGGGGTGACGCCGACATTAGAGTTAACTAGAAACTAGAATATTTTATTAAAAGTTGCCTACTAAGAAGAACGTCATTCTTGGCCCGATTTTGTCCTTAGATATTAGGACTCTTCAGCAAGAAATAGATAGGTTCTTATTTTCAGTCTCTAATGGAATTAACGAAGACACCAGATTCATTAGTATACAATATGTTGGTTATGAAGAGAATAAGTATTCAAATAGTGGAAATGGTAACGCCATCTGTTCCTAGTAAGCAAAGGCCGCTTGTAATACCCAGTTAGAAAATTAGGTGAAACCAAAAAGACAGACTGACAATTTTAAAAAAAGGAAAATAATTCAAACTCAAATGTGACCAAGCCGTAAGGGGGCGTCCATTCATTACGTGAGGTGTTCAAGGGGGGGGGGGGGGGGAGGTGATCAAGCTAAATCTTTCTAAATCTCACTTGGGGGAGAGGGGGGTCTTTGTAAATCTGACGTATTTTTTTTTGTAGAAAACTGTGTAAAATTGCGTGAAAATTAAATTAAAGTAAACAATGTTTCTAGAAATTTTTAGTCTTAAATAAAAGTAATAAAACATATTGTGTTTGTTTTTTTAATAATCCAGCGCTTTTACACCCAAAACACAAATTTTGAAAAATCTCACGAGAGATTAGGGGAGGGGGGGAGTTGAGGAAAATCTTACGAAATCTCACCAGGGGGGGAGTGGGGTCAAAAAATCCTCAAAAATACCTCACGTAATTAATGGACGTCCCCTAAAATAAAATAGATAAAACCCATAGCCATATATCACACAAAATACCTTCGGAAAACAACTACTCATTTGGGTAATATCGCAATAGGTATTGAATTATACCCAAAGGAAAGAGAGAGATAGAAGTTAAATTTCAACACTATATCTTTGAATTTTGTCCATGTCTAGATCCCAGTTGTTTATATTGGAATCAGTATGAATTCCTTTTTAAGCTTTATACGGTGAAAAACAAATACCCAAATATAATTATTAAATTATTTTAGTTTATAGGTGTATCTATAGTTTTTTAATTTTTATAAAATGGCGTCTATTCCCAGTCAGAGTACCGTTCTTTAAGTGCAACCGACCCCTTGTATATATTCGTACCTATATATGCATTCGCCGACCCTGCTTGATACGCAGCATAGGTATGCTGCTATAATTATTGCTTTAATGTCATTTGTTAATATGTTATTTACATTTTTTATGAACAGGTGTTTTAACCTATTTCTAATAAGCGATATACATTTATTTATTATTGAAAAATGAAAGTGGAATGTCTTTTCTTATTCTTTTGAGTATACATGGATGGCATCAGACCAGTAGGTGTCTATTTATACCACAGTAAGTACTTTATAATTTCATATACATTTTTCGTAGTAGGTTTTGTTACTTTTTCCCATCGTCGCGTTAGGAACAGCACTGTTAATTACAACCAAACCGTGAATAGTCCAGTAAAGAATCCTACTTAACGTATGGGAGATAAGTTTTGAAGAAAAGTCTGGCTTTAAAATTCTACTCAATTTTGATATCTGATCAAGTTACCATGAAACTGATAATCAAGTAATGTTTTTGTTATTGATAAATGTCAACTGAACTCAAAATATAGGTACTACAAACCTGAAATTCGAAAAAAGGCATCTATATCTTAATTAGACGATTTCCCAATCGTAAAATTGTTCTGAGATCAAAATGTGAGGCAAGCAACGATTTATATGACAATAAGATTGCGAAGAAAGTAGGTAGGTACCTATACCTTGCACTAAATTTCCGAAGACTGGAAAACCTCATATTTTGACACAAAACAGGACGAAAATAGGTACTGGCAGTGGCGCAGCCAGCCATTTTTCATAAGATGGATTTTTGAGAACTATGGGGGGGTTCCATCAAGAATGGGAATAAAAACAAACAGTCAAAAGCGATCAGCGCCAATACTATAGTAGAAATGGTGACGCTAAGAACTTCCATGGGGGGTTCTGAACCCCAAAACCCCCCGTGGCTACGCAACTGGGTAGTGTTACAAACCGCTCAAGGCAAGATTGGAATATTTAGTCGGAAGCTTGGTCGCCGTTTTAGGGTTTCATACAAAATGATTTTGTCCAAAAATGGTGTGATGTATCGAAAAAGAAGGAAATGTCCCAAATACATCCAGGCATAAAATTCGAAAGGATATTGTTGCAGAGCTTTGAAGCGAAGATAATTTGTGAGGAACCGTGTGATTATAATGAATGACGACAAATATTTCACTATGTCATTATAAAAAGCATTTTAGTCTGAAGGCAGGAATTTCAACTCCAGTTGATACAAAGGTACAGAAAATGTTTAATTTCATTCATCGTGCCATTATGACAGAAGGACTCGGGCATAGGCGCCGCCACACAAGGGCAAGGAGGGGCGTCTATATTTGTTATTTTTTGTCCTGGTTTTTTACTATAGCCTGCGGCGTTTTGACCCTGCCTATAAGACCTGCCCCCCTGGAATTTTTTTAACGGCGTTCGTGGACTCGGGAATCATTAGAGCAGAATAATAATAACATCAATTAGGTATGTTATTACCAATGAGTATGTAGTAGACAACATTATAAAATGTGATGGACACAATATTCTGCGGTTGCCTCCTTATTATTGCATTTTTAAGCCCATAGAATTATTACGGGCTCAATTAAAAAAAGATATTTGTGATAACAATATTACTCCAAAATCAAGTGAGAATGTTATTAATTTAATAAAACATGCATTTAATAAAATTACTAATGTACATTGGGCGAACGTGATTAAACATGTTATTGAGAATAAATATTTAATAAGGACTCCACAAAGATTCATCATTAACGTAGCTGAAAGTAGTGACAGTGATTTTAGTGAAAATGACAATTAACAGCGGTAATCCTTAAATCAGAGTTTTTGTATAATTTTATTTCATTTTAGATATAGCTAAAAAATTAAACGTCTATTTTGGTACTTGTAAAATTGTCTAAAATTACTTGCCCATAGTGCTAATCCTGAAACACTATTTACAGTAACGATGGATATTCCTTCTCTTATAATGTGTCACATAATAAATAATGTAAAAAAACATTTTTGTCCATTTTCATTATTACACACATTGCTCATGCCGACCCTGTCTATAGTGTGATTTGGAAATTCCATTTCTTATAATTTGCAACCAACTATACCGAGAGTAGATAACCCACATAATAGAACTTTGGTTACCTATTACCTACTGTTTCAAAAGGTTTATATGAGAACGATTAGGAGGCCCACAATGAATAAGTAACAATTATTGGCACGAAAATCAGTTGAGATCCGAAAATTGAAATGCATTTCAAGCATTTAAATTTTTCTTTGGTTTGTTTTCACTTTAGGGATACGGAGGTCCATTTTTCATAATTATATACATAATATGTATTCTCGCATATTTCCAAAATTGTTTTTAAACATTAAATAAAATTTTGTTATTTGGCACATTGAGACTGATGACGTTTTTCTTAAAATTTTAGTCCTATGCGTTATGCATTAGAATTAATTTTTAATTAATCAAATTAATTATAAAAAATCCCGGCCCCGGTGGGTTTCGAACCAGGGATCCCTGGATCTGAAAGTACATACTTTAACCACTGAGTCATCCATACTAAGGTATCTAGCTCCAAAAAGGCTTTAAAACTGCCAATTTAAATTCTTTAGTAAGAAATATAAAATTATTTAAAATGTATCGATAATTGAATTCTACATCGCAAGTGTTAATTGAAATTTGCTTACTTATTAAGTATTTTTTTGTATAAATAAATAAATCGTATTTCTTCCGTCGGATTATTTCTGGCTGGAAATTTCCTTCACAAGGGTAAACTCAAGCTTGTTTTGGTTAATAAATATTGTAAATACTATTATGTAGAGAGTTTGATCTAGCTTAAATCATACTTATATATTTAAACCAAATTTCCACTTACCAGGATTGGGTTGAGATTGATATGACGTTTTTTTAATCCATTCATAAGGGCTCCTAGCCGCCTGAGGCCTGCTCTGATTCTGTTGCGGCGATAGATTCCCATTCTGACCACCAGGACTAGACATATCACTTCCGGTGATCGGCGGCGAAGGAAGTTGACTTTCAGGATCTAACTGGTGTTGCGGATGTTGCAAAGCCGGCACCGTATGAATAAAATCCTGAAACTCATGTTGAAACACACTGTGCGGATGTGCTGGATGATGGTGCCACATTTGCTGTTCCTGTTCCACGCAGTACGCTCCCGGCGGAGCGGTACTCAGCTGCGGCGATTGTCTGTAGGACGCGTACCACGGATGCATCGGGGAATTTGCTTGGAAATGTCCATTACCGGTTATTTGCTGCTGGTGATACATTCCTGAAGATTGTCCGTAATATGACACCATAATATCAAAACACTAAAACGAGTTTATCACTGTTAACAATACAATGTCCTTGTGAGGAAGCACCTAAATCATAACTCAAACATCACACTATTCTACCCAACTGCAACAACTAATTAAAAGTGGGACTAAAACGTGCCGGTTGCCAACTGAGGTGCGTATTGCTAGTAGATAAAGGAGATAAGGATTAACAGTCCTGGAGGCGGAGCGTAGGGGTCTCAGCGCGCCAATGGCGCGCTCCCTAGCGGATCATGGCTGAAAATATCTCCGCGCACCAATAGCGAACGGCGCGACGGCCAACCTGGATATTAAGCAATATTTAATTAGCTGTTATATTGGGAAGGTCTTAATTTCAACGCCTACGTGTGGTTTCAGTGTTTTTTTTGTTATTCTAATTTATTTGTTTGGGACTATTGTTATGTATATTTTGTAAAGCTTTAAAAAATACCTGGGATATATTCGTGAGGGAAGTATAATTTATTATACGAGTAAATTATTTCAAGAATGGTAAATTAAAAGATTGCTGTTACTAGGTATTTAAAGAAGTTTGTGAAAAATTAACATGGGTAAGACACGAATGTTGAATTTGTAAAAACCGACTTAGGTACCTGTATACCTAAATATACGGAATGTACAGAATATAATACCTACTTACATTTCCCTTTCCAGTTTCTTTTGTTTCTACTTAGATATAGGTATTTACAGTCTGTTCGCTATATTTAAGCGGGTTTCGGAAAGTTTGACCTTTTCTTTGGGGAAATATCAACTGGTTAAATAAAATGAAAAATAATGTACAACTTTTTAATTAAATAATAATGGAGAATCTTTTGTATAATTGAGAGCAGAATTAAACTTCTTCATTAATGGAGTCTAATGTGGCTATTATAAACCTAATAATAATTTTATATTACACTTCACACAGAAAATATGGTCTATGTACCTATAATAAGAGGGTTATTTAGCTCAAATACAATATTTTCTAACATAAAAATTTGTTCCATGTAGAGAATTTCAAATGAAAAATAAAAAAATTGATCTTGCCAACAAAAATGAAAATCAGTCATTATCATCCAAAATATCATAATCGTCATCATCATTACTGTCATCACCATTAATTGTTATTATGATTGGACTTATTTCGTTTATTTTATTTTCATGAGTTCACCAATCTTCTATTAGTTTCTCGCACTTGGATAAACAGTTCCGCCACACTTCTGGAGTTGCAATTGAAAGTGCTTTTCGCCAAGTTTCCCGAACTGCGTCGTCACTATAACCATTAGGCCCAATATGGTTGTCATAATATTGTTTTGCTATTCCCCATATACCTATATTCGATGGGATTAAACTGGCAATGATACGGTGGCAGACGTAAAACTTGATGACCGTGTAACTTTAAGGTTTTTGGTTTTGCGTGTAGGTATATTTGCCAAGCGTAATAATTCTGATTTTAATATATATTGAGGAAATGGTATATGTTCCTTTGTCAACCATTCTTTAATTTTATCAACAGTCCAAGAATTCGTTGGACTTTTGTTTAATACTTCAGAATGGTAAGGTACATTGTCTAAAATAATTACGCTGGGCTCACTTAAACCTGGGAGAAGTTTTTCATGCAACCATTTTACAAACATTTCTGTGTTCATATTATCGTGATAGTCACTGGATTTTGAAAAATTTGAAAATATTAAATCAGCACCTTCTATAAAACCCGATTTCCCTCCTTCATGTAAAATTATGTGTCGCTTCCCTTCTCCATCGGTATGTTTGATGGACTTTACGTTATTATATTGCCATATTCTCTTGGTTGCACCCCTAGAAAATATCCATGTTTCGTCTAAATATAAAAATTCGCCCCTTCTTCTTTAAATTTAGAATATTTTCTTAGAAAGTTAATTCTCTTGTGCACGACAGAACTTCTTTCACAAAGGGCCTTACTGTTATCCTTCTTTTGAAATTTGAAACCCAAGTTATGTATCACTTGCCATAGACTTGTTCTGCCAATGTCGTCAAATTTTCTATCTATTAATTCCGAGAGAATTGTATTTAAGGTCACATGTTCCTTGTTGGTCCTCATTCGATAAATGGTATCACGAATTTCAAATTTTTTTCCATCTGGAATATCTTTCGTTTTCAATGATGGGCGAGTTTTGCAGTGATCTTCTTTCGGCAGTTCACTATTGTAATTTTTTAATATACTCCTCTTAATTTGTTTTCACTAATTCCTAGAGCATCGCATACGCGTTGTTGTACAGACATTACCGATTTTCAAGGACCGCCATTTTCTTTTTCATCCGTAAAATACTTATGTACACTACAAATTAGACTATATACATCTAACACACGTCTGGGCATTTTTAAAATTTCCACTAAATTTACAATATACATTAGGGTGTATCATTTTTAAGCAACTTTTTTTTTTTTCAACTAAAAAACAGGCTAAAAACTTTCAGGAAGGTGAAAAAAGAAGCCTCTAAAAATTTGAGCTGTTAATATTATCATTTAGTGGTGCCTGTTCTTAACTTTCCATTTTCCATCTAAATAACATGAAATATTTTTTTTTCTTTTTTCTTATTTTTGTAGCTTGATATTTAAGCATTGTACAAATAAAGTGAAACATTATTTTGGTAGAAAATTGAACGCTCTACAAAAAGTTCCAATATATTTTTTTCATAGCGTGAGCCGTTCTGAAGATATTCAAATTTAAAGTTGAAAATGTTTGAAATTAGGACTTTTATTTTATTAAACTGATGACTTTTTTATGTCTTAAAAATTATTTTCAAGAAAACATCATTATTTTCATATAGAAGAAAATAACGACGAACAGAAGACAAAAATTCACCAGAAATATTTTTAAACAAAAATATGAGTGACTTTGTTTCAAAACAATCATTAAAACTTTTTGACAAATTTGATTTGCCGTACGACTTTCTGGATGCAGATGTCTTAATTTGGCCAGATAATGAAAATTATCAAGAGAATTTGGAGTTTTTCGAAAAATTGAAAGTTGTCAATGACGTTGCAGGACATGGCGTCGCATTAGTAGAAGAATATAATAGATGCCTAACTAAAGATGAGAAACAATTTTAATATTACAAGTGGTAAAGGAGCACCGACGAAAATATCCAAATTGTAATAAAAAAACTTCAACAAATATAGTTACATCATTTAATTCTGATAAGACATTAAAATATCTATTAGTTTCAAAATTTTAGTATGCTAATTGTTAAAAAGTTTTTTTTTAATCTATAAAATAATAATTTTACTGAACCTAATTCAGTTAATCAAATAATATCTAAGATGTATTTTTTTTATTTTAGCTTTCTAAAAATATTAGCGCACAAAAACCAGTTTTCAGATAAAAATAATTTTTAAGACATAAAAAAGTCATCAGTATTATTTTAATAAAATAAAAGTTCTAATTTCATACATTTGCAACTTTAAGTTTGAATATCTTCAGAACAGCTTACTCTATGAAAAAAATAAATTAGAACTTTTTGTAGAGCGTTCAAGTTCCTACCAAAATAATTTTTTAATTTATTTTTACAATGCTCAAATGTCAAGCTACAAAAATAAGAAAAAAAGCAAAAAAAAATTTCCATGTTATTTAGATGGAAAATGGAAAGTTAGGAACAGGCACCACTAAATGATAATATTAAGAGCTCAAATTTTTAGAGGCATTTTTTTTTCACCTTCCTGAAAGTTATAAGCCTGTTTTTTAGTTGAAAAAAAAAATGTTGCTCAAAAATGAAACCCTAATATACATACAATGTCAACACTTGCAAAGAATCAATTCAACTGCAATATTTGTAACAAATTTTACCAAATTTCTTGGGAAGAGGCTTATTGGAACTGGTCGTCAATGACTAATTTGCATAATTTTGTTAATCCGAAACCCGCGTAAGTATAGCGAACAGACACTTATTATGAGCATAGGCATTCTTAAAAAATTCTTAAGCGAAAGACGATTATCCATACTTATAATAAGAAGTTTCTTTTTACTTTTATTCTCGTTACTTCTTAATCGAAGAAAATCTCTTGCTTAATTTAAGTACCTACGACAATTCTTTAAAACATTCTAAACAAAAGGAGCATGAAACAAGTTATATTCTCAGTTTAAGTATAAGAACGTTTTATGCTTGCAACAGTACCTTCCACAAAGCACATAGAGGTTCCACGTGAATGACCAAGGTCAAAACCGACAACTGACATTTTTTATGCTATTTGCTCCAAACTCTAGATGGGGCTACTGGTGAAATTATGATTTCTTACTCCATTTTTAAGCCTTATGGGAGAAAAACTTAACCAAAGACTCCAAAGATGTGACGTGTATTTATATATGTTCTTGGTTAGTTTCATTTTTCCGTCTGATTTTAGTGATTTTTTGTTTTTTGTTGGCTTTGGCTTTTGGTTTCTGTTTATAGTTTCGTCTTGGTTATTTGCAAAATTGTGATGTTTCGCTTTTTTATTTCCTACTGTGTTTTGCAATAATTTTGGTGCTACGTTGAAAACTTCGAGAAAAACTTCATTGATTCACCATATATTCACCATGCATCTGCATCATAAAAAGACAAACGGGGACAACAATTAATTGATAATCAATTTATCACTGGACTAGATTCCGAAATCTGTATCACCATCTGTATTTGGAAGGAAAATACCTATTTATCATTGAATGAATAGTTAAAAGGATTCACCTTTTAATACAATATATACCTATATTACATTTGTCCTCAGTTAAAAAGACATTTATAAAATATATAACTTTAGTGTTAATAAAATGTAATATCCTAGTCTCTACTTCACATTTACATTATTGATAGGTATTTTAAAGATTTGAGATTATATATCTGCTCCAAGTAAGTATTCGTTAAATATGTATTATTATTTGTTATTTATTTTTATCTAATAATATTTATTTAATTTATTAATAAACATATTTTAAGAATGTTCTATTTTATTATTTATTGATATATCTTATATTTATTTAATAAAAATATGCAGAAAAAACTCTCCACAATAGACCCCTTATAACAAATTAATTCTTCAAATTTGGTATAATCGACCTACATTATTTTGTAAAATAAAAGTTTCGAACTTACTAGTTCCATACTTTATTTTATAAAATAATTTATGTGGAAATCATTT